CACACACACACACACACACACACACACACACACACACACACACACACACACACACACACACACAATAAACTTTGTATTCCCACATTTGTAGTGACCTGCCCTTCCTATTGGAAAGGAAGGAGCCATAAACTGGGGAAACACCTGACTGTATTAGAGGGTTACAGCRTGACCTTTGACCTCTGCACACCGTCTCACCTTTAGTTTCCCTTCTCCTCCAGATATAAACATTCTGTATTGTTGCTAACAAGGTGCCACGCTTCCGGTCTTTTCGCTCTCTCGCTCCGAGACGATAAACCTCAGATTTCTCTCAGTTTTTCTGTCGTTTTATTTGGAGTCTTTGACCCGGGTCCAGCTGGAACGCTCGGGTCTGGGCGGAGCGGTCGCTGTTCCTGTGAAAAAAAAAAAAAATCAAATTAGAGCCGATGATGAAATGTGAAGCAACTCACCCTGCTGAATTAAAATGACACATCTTTAATGAGAGGCTGAGTGGCTTTGGCCGTCAAAGGGGTAAACATCAGGCTGCGTGTGTGTGTGTGTGTGTGTGTGTGTGTGTGTGTGTTCTGCAAGTGCCACTGGTAATGAATGATCTATGCAGAGATGTAAGAAAAAAATCAATGACCCTTACATACGTAAATGTGTTTGTTTACTCTGTCTGCCTGCCTGTCTGTGTGTGTGTGTGTGTGTGTGTGTGTGTGTGTGTGTGTGTGTGTGTGTGTGTGTCCAGCTGACTAAACAGGCGTTGTGTCGGTGAGGTGAGGAGTTGGGTGGCTCTGATGAGTGACAAATCTCAGACTGCACCGTGACTCATGCTTTCTCTCACACACACTGCATGTTTTTGATTGTCCATTAGCAAAATATTTCATGAACCACGTGACAATTTTAACAAAACGCTCAGAAATTATTTGATTTTTGAATCAAATTCATGATGGAGCAGCAAGATGGACGCTATGGCTTTAGCACAAATATATCTACAACTCAAGATCACAAGAACATAAAACTTTAGTGTTAGTCAACCTTGACTGTTAGCAAAATATCTCTTGAACCAATGGATGGATTTTAATGCAATCTATGCCCTGGTAAACCAAAATATTATATCACCTGATTAATTGCTTCAGAAAAAATAATAAAATGAAGCTAGTGTGTTAAAGCTAATCTGGTCACTTCAGCTTAATGCGTTTATTTTACTGCCGACTTGAGTTTTTTCAGTTTTAATCTGAACCAAACTGTGGATTTTGTCTGACCAAACAACTGTAGTTTAGAGAAAACAAGGATTAGAGTTAGCAGCTAGCTGTTTACATGGACAATTTGTATCAGACTAGTCGTATGATATAAATCCTTCATAACCATTAAAGTGCCTGTGACATCAAATTTTTGCAATAAATATGAATGCATTTTTTGGAAAGATAACATATTGCATAAGAATTTCATGCCGCTGAGATTGACAGTTGTTGAGATATTTGCATATGAAGTAACAGGAAGTGATGTCAAAGGGGAATGTCTGCATGTAAACAGAGCATTGTTACAACAGCTAACAACGCAGACTAGAGAAGAATTTATTATTTTGAGTCACTATCAAAGAGAGATGAAGAAGAGTTAAAGTTTAAATAATATTGTTTTAAAAAACAAAGACCAGGGTGTTTATTTTCCCCTTTGATGTCACTTCCTGTTTCATTTTAGCTAAACCAAGTTCAAAAGGAAATAGGCCTGTAATGTGATAAAATTAGTAAAATCATGTGTTTTATGCCAATTTTCTTCAGTATGAAGATGTTTTCTTTTACTTTTTTGTATTTGAAGGATAGGCATGTTACAGTGCCTTTAAGCCTGACACATTTCTAAAGACACTGAGCTGTCACTTTGTGGGGTCAAAGGTCAAATACGTTCAGAACAATCAAACCAACGAGGTGAGACAAAGTGAGCAGGAGAGTGAAACTTTTAAAAGCGTCAGTGGAAAGTTTGTGTCACCWTCTTGACCTCAGCGCTGACCAGTGCCAGCTAATGACCTCTTCAACTTTCACAACCCAAACCTTTACCTGTTTGCAGCCAGCGGAGATAATTACCCCCGCAGCCGGAGAGTCCATAAACACGGCCGTCACCTCCTCAGCGAGGCGTTCTCGCGCCAAGTCGTATCTGCTGCTGGAAAACTCGTCGCGACACATGTTCAGATGGATTATCCGGCGGATGAATGTGAGGCACGTTTCTGTAATGAGCTCCTCAATGCTTTGGTTTCCGCCCTCGTTCTCCTCCCCACCCAGAGCATTACACCAGACAAGTTGTGTTTTTCTTCTGCTCTCCGGCCCGCGGCGTAATGTTTGTTTTCTGTCCATTTAATTGTGAACTTTTACATCACCGTTTACCAAAGGAGGGCTTTTGTTGTTATTATGCAACCAGATGACGAAATTCTCGCATTTCACTTTAAGATTCGACTCTAAAAGCGTGACGCCAATGGAAAAACACAAGTTGCAATTTAGTTTTTTCACCGTTAAATAAAAGTTCTGCACTGTTGAGTCTACAGCAAATAAATTAAAGGCCTTGCAATCGCCTGTCGCCTTATATTTCAGCATTTTAGACCGACCAGTTTTGGTCAATCCTTGAAAAATTTTTTAGTTGCAGCTGTGTGAACGACCATCAGATGCTACGGCTGTTGGTGATATGATACATATACAGGGATCATGATACGATATATCGCGATAAATTGCGATACTATAAGCAAGACGATATATCGTCATTTTTTCCTCCAAATATTCTAATTTCAAAAAACCTGTCTTTTATATGTTTCATATTTCTTATTTTTTATTCATGTTTTAAATGGTTTGATAATATTGTGGCAGCTTACAGATTTATAACATTATTTTATTAAAAATTATATGGTCAACTGCCACCCTAACAGTCTATATTTTGTGCTTATGTTCAGTAAATGGATGAAATGAAGCTGCTACAGTCTGTGTTTAACGGGGTTCCTCTCACTTAAGGGGGTAGCATGAGTACGACAGACATTTCAATGCCCTCAGTGTTTCATATGGTTGTAGCAACAGACAAATGCCTACCTGCCCGCCGTATATTTGGCAACCCTACCTCAGCTTTGAAGGCAGCGGGTGTTTAATCGAGGAGTCTAATTGCTCAGGTTCAGCCACTGGTACCAAGTGCTAACGTTTACTCACACTGCTAACATTTGAGCTAGCATTATACTCACGCTCCTCACATCTGGCTTACTGCTGCCAGCTAGTGGTCGGAGGCTAAACTACAACACAAGAATGAACCGCTGGCATGAAAGTTTACATTCTAATAAAAAAATTACACAGCAGTTTTGAGAATAAATACAGTATCACTGTATCACAGTATCAATGAAATATTGCCATATTTCAGTGTATCAATATTTTCTTACACCTCTAGCTGTCACTGTATCATATAGGGGTGCACCGATTTATTGTCCCAGATTTCCTTACAGTGCCTGTGACATGTATATCTACAAAAACAAAAAGTCAAAGAAAATATATTTATATTTAAGAAACTTGGCATCATACACATGATTTGAACCATTATAACACATAAATGGCTTATTTTCTTTTGAATTTGGCTCAGCTAAAGTGAAACAGGAAGTGACATCAAAGGGGAACTCTTTAAGAAAGAAAACTCCCTGGTTTTTGTTTATTGAAACAATATTATTTGAACTCTGACTCTTTCTCATCTATGATAGTAATTAAAATATTCTAAAGAAACATCAGGTTCTTCTCTACAGTCTGTGTTAGCCATTTTATCAAAGCTCTGTTTACATTCAGACATTCCCCTTTGACATCACTTCCTGTTTCTTCACATGCAAATATCTCAACAACTGTTCATCTCAGCGGTGTGAAATCGTTTTTTACAATATGTTATCAATGTTATCTTTTCAAAATATATATTCATATTTATTATAAGAAATTGAYGTCACAGGCACTTTAATGTGTGATCGGTCAATTGGCCGATACCTGACTAGCTGGTCTTATCCACTGATCTTTACCTCAGCAAAGATCTGAAATCAGCCACTTTTTTTGCTCTGCTTTGAGGGCTGTCCAGTTAAATCAAGGTAGTATTGTTTCAAAGGTATTGTTCAATGTTTTTTGAAAAAATAAGAGTGGAACATTGAAGGTGTATTGTGACCTTTTTAAAAAATGAATGAATAATTCAGAATTGCTCCCCTCATTTTTAAATCAAAATGTGTAAAACTGACAGAGTTGTAGCCATTTTTGTGTTCAGGAGTGATTCAGCTGCAGATTTGCAACCCAAATTATGCAATACAGGAATGTTGTGTATCAAATATTTAAAAAAATTGTACCTTTTTTTTGGTTAAAAAATAAGAACGTTTTTAATTTGATGGCAACATGTTTTAAAAGAGTTGGAATAGGAGCAACAAAAGGCTGTAACAATAAAAAAGCACCCTGAAAATTATTTTACAACCAATTAGGTTAATAATTGTTTGGTTAATTGGCAACAGATCAATGAGAGACTGAATCTGTTTGAAGTACATTTATGAATAAAATATGTGTTTAGTAGATCTGCAAATCAACATCCCAACTTTGCAATAATTACGTTTGTTCACTGAAATGATTCAGCGGTTCATGAGATATTTTGCTAACACACCTTCTGACGGCAGGTAGTACACGGATCACAGT